ACAAAAAAATAGAAATTTAAGAATACAGTAACAAAATTCAAATGGATAAAGAAAAAATAGTTCCAACAACTTCTATTCCGCCTTTTCTCGCCATGGCAACCGGCAAACAACAGTTCAACGAGCAGATAGAGCAGAGATGACCGATCAGGGGAATCAACACCAAAAAACAAACATTTCCCACACAAAAAAGTAGCAAAAACACTAAAACAGAACATCCAGTCTGTTAAATTATGCTGTCAGGCTTAATGTCTATATTGTGATTATTAATAAGTTTTCGCCTGAACACCACGGCGGTTGATTAGCTGATTTAAACAGCTGCTCTACTGATGACTTGGTGGGTGGGTTGACCTGTTTTAGTGCTAACGGAACCAAAACACACCGAACTGCGCAGCACATCCTATGGTTATCAAAGTCAATACCAGGCCAGCAACAGTTAGGCTAGTATAACTGACCCCCCGCTCACTTGTTCAATCTTTTCTTTAAATTAAAACGTTTTCCTCACCTAAAGCCCTTATTACCATTATCTATGGTTTAATTAAACTGCTAAACATTGCGTCTGTTGTTTTGATTCTTTGCGTGATTGTAGAAGTTTCCTGACCACCGATATTCCTGACTCAATGGACAGCAATGGCGCATGTGTGACTTAAGATAAATCACGTAATGTCCAGTCCAGTAATATATCCATCAATGCTGCTGCCTCGCGCTCTGTCCTTCTCTCGCACTTCCCGCTACTTAGCTGTGGGAGTCAGGTTACATTGTGTTGCATTCAATGTTGTCGGAAAAAAAGAGTTTCATGCGCTTAATGTCCGATTTGCCATAACTATTTATTGAATTCATTGTCGCTAGCTGGGGTGGCAACAGGGGTGGCAAGGCTCTCGTTTGGGGTGGCAACTGCCACCCCATGCCACCCCAGTAGATCCGCCCCTGCTGTCAAAATGTGAAGAAATAAAAAAGAAACATGCCTGTTTACAGAATGCGCAGTCTCTATTGAACATAATATATACTGCTAAAAAAAAAATAAAGGGAACATTTCACTTTAATTTTGTGTGTGGCTCCAAATCCAGGCCTCCATTGGTTAATAAATTTGATTTCCATTGATGATTTTTGTGTTTTTTTGTTGTCAGCTCATTCAACTTTGTACAAAACAAAGTATTCAATGAGAATATTTCATTCATTCAGATCTAGGATGTGTTATTTGAGTGTTCCCTTTATTTTTTTGAGCAGTGTATATTTTTTTAAATGTGCCGCAGCAGCATCTCCACATCCTCCAGCAGCACTGACTGTGAGCAAGGTAGCGCATGGGCAAGCCAGCAGGGAATTATTCCACATCGCCTCACGTCTCAGAGCATATACGGCGTCCTCTCACACCGAGCCGCGAATTTAATGTGCAGCAAATCGAGGCAGCCGCCCCCGCCTCATTTTCTCCCCCCACCCCTATTTTTTTTTTTATTTAATCGTTATTTATTTAATTCATTTGCAGCCACCATCTCCTAGTCGGTGTGCTGCAGAGGGAATGATGCGGGCAGCGTGCGTCGCCGCTTCATAGGTAGCGTCTTTCTCCTTTTTTCCCCCCCCCTTTTGTCGAGATCAAGACGACGACTGCGGGTTCATCCCAACCCGCTGCTGCAAATACCACAGCGGATTGCCTGAATTTATTTATTTAATTAATTTATTATTATTGTTTTTTTTAATTCCAGGCGCATCCGCAGCTTCTCTGCGAGGTGCAAGGTGTCTTTGAACCTGAGACGGAGAAGGATCTCCAGGAGGAATCAGAGGAAGGCTCTGTTTTGACTCAAGCATGTCGAGATGGTGAGTAGCCCCTAAAATAAATCCTCTGGTTGATATTTTTGTTTATTTGCTTCTGGTATCCAATTATTCGGCTAATTAGTAGTGATTTCTGCAGGAAGGGGTGGGGATTCGCCGATCTTCGCGTCTGATTTAACTCCTCCATTTTAAAGAAAATATTTCATCCACCAGACAGTTTAGATCGTGCGCTTCCACCCTCCTAATGAATGGGACTTCTGTTTTCTTGGCCGTGTTTTGCAGCTCCAGACATTTTCAGCCTCATTCAGCATCACTCGGGCTTTTATTCTGGCGTTTGGGACTCAATTAACGGCGCCGTGTCAGTCGGTGCGTAGCACAATCCCGGTGATTTTACGCTGTTCGTGAACTTTACACAGTCAACCATTTTAAAGAGTGTCTCGAAAGCATCACGTTTTAAAATGACCTTCACTGCTCGGTAGCTGGAGATTCATTATCCTCACGGATGGAGTGCAGAGTCAGGCTCAGACGTCCTGTGCGGATGCTCGTAAATCGGACACCAAGACCTGGCCTGTGTTTTGATGCACACGAGTGCGTCTCAGTTTTAGTGAACCTATTTTATTTTATTTTATTTTTTTTATTGAGGGTATATGTCGAATTTGAAGCAGCCCTGTAGTCATAACACGGGAGCAGTTGGAGGGAAGCCAAAGGGATCAGTTGAATGTGAAAAAAGACTCCTCAGCAGTCCATGGTGCAGGCATGCACATCTCTACACTGAGTTCTTAGTCAGTGTTTACATCAAGCACCCTGCACCCAAAGTTAATATCCAAAATGGCATTAAAGGAAATTAGGCATTCAAACTGTTCTTTTTTTAGAAATGCATCACATGTCTTCATGGATTCTTACAAGCAAAACTTAGGTGCATATTTGGCTTATTTTGAATCCACCCAGGATCACAATTATATACATAAAGCCTCAAATGCAATGCTAATAATATTTAATAATATTAGGATACATTTTCCTCATCTAAAACCGCAGGGAACTTAAGTGCTTATTGTAAACTTATATTTTATTAATATTTACTATTTTGTTTCAATAGCAGTATGTCGTCCTCATATTGACTAAATACCCCGGCTGCAGGAGGTAAGGACATGGATGACCAATAACTTCCTCAAACTACTCTCGGCACTCCGCTGTGACTCAAATCCTCCTCTATCAGTCGCATTTCCTTTTTGAACCAGATTGTCGCTATTTCTCTCTCTCTTCCACTCTAAGAGTCAGATTTGACCCCAACTTATCATTTCAGCAACACATTCAAGAACTTTGTAAGACTGTGTTCTTTCGTCTGAAAGTCTATTTCCGAACTCACCCCCTGCCCTTCTCCCTGAAAGATGTAGAGAAGCTGATCTGTTTCCTCCAATAGGCTGGACTATTGGAACACACTCCTTTGTATGATTCCTGTCCTTTAGCATCCATAAACTCCAGCACATTCAGAACTCTGCTACCAGGATCCTGGTTAGGAGATGCAAATATGACCACATCGCCTTAATCCTCCACTTTCCCTACTGGCTGCTGTTAAAAATGAGGATTCAATGCAAGATCTAGTTGATCGCATGCCTATGCACCAGGCTACCTGAAGAATCTCATCTAACTCCCAACAACCATGACAAACCTCAGTTCTAAAGACAACGTTTAATCCCCCAAAGCTCTAAGCTGCACACGACAGGAGGCAGAAAACTTCCAGGCAGCAGATTCATGGCTGTGAAAAGCTGTTGACAGGTCGGAAGTCCTCCTTGCCGTCTCCCTAATTTTTAGTTCCCTCCAGAGATTATGCATCAAATTCAATTCAGGATTCTGGTTGGGCCACTACTAAATGCAATACCGGTAAAATTAAAGATCCCTTTAAACTTAAGCCTCCCAGCAGTTTGTGATTATCTCTGTAGTGTAAACGCTAACAGTATCGTAATTTTGCAAAATTAAGTCATTAACACAATCCAGCGACAAAAACAATAACATGCAGCATCATTCTAACATTTTAACATGTTTTATTTCATGCTGCGGCAGAGGTTCAGTGAAGAAGTCTGATTTGGTCGACAGTGCTCCTTCTAGTCATTCTGACTCAAAAACTGGGTCACAATTTTTAACACACTGCTTAGCTGCAACTACCCAGAATTTGAGTTATAAAGATATCTGTGTAGATTTTATGTGTGGGTTAAATAAAGAGTCCTTGCATTCAAAGAAACAGTGAAGAAGGGTGAGAATTAATGAGAATCGCGACTTAAAACGTCTGTAATGGAACTTATATATATGCACTGTTCATAACAAGACCGATACAGTAAACCTGGAAAAGTAGGGCAAGCACTACAATGGACAGGATAATGACCTAAAAAAAAAAAAAAAAACAGGGGCCTTTTATGGCAAAGAAACTGTGTGTCTTCAACTGGTCAGGAAAGTTGTCGTTAAAAAAAGAAACGATGAAAACAAAGAAATATTCGTTTTTGTTGATGAGCTACCTCAGCCTTTGTCAGCCTTCAAGAAAGGCTGAGGTACACACTTCAATATGCTTTGGTTGGAGCTTCATCTTTTAATCTCTGGAAAATATTTGTTTGTTTTGTTTTCATATAGTTTCACAAGTATTTAGAAATAAAACTGCAGATCAAAATAGCAGATTATTGTTTCTTTTTTGTAGAAACTAGTTTTGTAGAAACTGTTCAGCACAAACAGTTTTCAGCTGTAAGGTACAGATGAAACCAGGCACTGACATGCACTATGTAAAAAGATACATACATTTTTCTCTAGTTTGGTGATAAATTGGACTAAACTTTAGATCCACTAAAATGACCAAAGTTATTTCTATTAAATGTAAGCCAGAGTAATGAGGAAAATATATTTTTTTAAGATATGAGACATCAGGAAGGAAGTTGTGGAGCTCTGTTCTACAAAGGGAACGGACCCATAATCACTGGAACATCAACCAACACATTTGATGTGTGCTGATTATTCTGATGATTGTCGAAATGTAAAGTTTGTTCCTGGTTTCACAATTGGTGACTGTATGATGTTCTTATGATGTGAAGCACTTTGAATTGCCTTGTTGCTGAAATGTGCTACAGTGGCTTGCAGCAGTGAGGATGCACAAAGTATGTAAGAACTATTCATTTTTGATACATGCTTGTGTTTGCAAAGGACCACAGCATTTGCGATTTCTGGCATTTTGGTGCGAGGAAATCTTCTTTCACGTTTTTATCTTCGTCACAGCAGTGTCCCCGAGTGCAGAGGAACTGGAAAAGTTATCAGTGCTGCTCCTATAAAACTGCTTTGTTCGTTTTTCTCAAGAGCTGATTGTGCATGTGTATTGATAGTGCAGGAGCAGAACTGGATGCTCCCAGGGATGTAACCTGAAATGCAAATCTTGCAACTACACACTGAGATAATGCATCTGGACTGTAGTGTTATTAATAATTCTGGCATCAGCGTTCTACGTGTGCAGAGAATACAGAATGTATGACCTGCGAATACATTGTAAAATAATGTCACTGCCTTGAAAATTTATGCTTATTCTTTTCTCTCTTGCTGTTTTGATGCAGTGACAAACTGAGTTTAAGCCCTGCAATTACATTTGTCTGACTGTTAGCATTAGGCCAGAATCCATAAACGCATCTTTTTTGACAGACTTTGGCTCATGGCTTGAAGCTGAGCTTCTACTTTTCACAATTTGATTTACTTTATTGTATTTAAAAGTTATTTCTGCCGCAGTAAATCAAGTTTTTGCAGATTAAAAGAATTGTAGAAAAAAATGTAGTCCTTCTGTTTGTGAAACATGATGCAACAAAACTGACCCTTGTATACGATTTTTTTTACCTTTTATGACTAATAATTATTGCCTGTAAATTAATTTCTCTTTCACCAGAATAGAGGTAAAGGTCTTTAACTTTGAAATGATAAAATGTACTGATATAAGATGTATTAATACCTCTCTGGATAAGTTTTCCTTTCCTGGTAAAATGTTCCCACTGCACGCTGACAGAGAGCTAATTTCAAAGACCCATAATGATAAGAGAAACTTGTTAGCCTTCATGAACATGTTACATCAGTGACAAATAATCAGAAACAAATCCAGATGTTCAAGTTCTAGAAAAAAACAAAACAAATCTGTGCATATATTCTAAAAATGAACTTCCTAGAACTGAATGCCAGTGTACATAGAAAGCCCTATAAAAATTTGGTTATGTGGTAAAACATGTCATTGTTTTGTACTGAAATAATATATTTGATAAAGGAAAGTCGTTATTATATGTAGAGTTTTGTTTGTGCGAGATCAGGAAAGTGAATAAAAAAATGGAACAAGTATGCAAAGGTCAAGAACTTCCTCGATGACAATATTTTGTGTCTAAAAAAAGAAAAGAAAAATCATCCCTCGAGAAACGACATGTCTTTATATCTGACATGTATCCTCTGTTTCAAGGTGTTGGACAAGCATCCGCTGAAGGGTGGTTCCCATCAGGTAGCGCTGCCTCTCTTTCCCTGTAGTATCGGGTGTGGACGATGATGACGATGTTCCTGGATAGATCCAGACAGACCGAGCATCGTCCTCGACGCAGTCTCCAACAGACAAAACTTTCCAGGAGCCGGAGAATTATTATCAACTCACCCGACGCTCTGAGAGGCAGCGTGGTTTCATCTCCCTCTTCTGACGACGAACGTGAGAGAGAAGGTGAGGCAGCAACACAGTCTTCTTCTGCAGACCTGTACTCTTCTGCAAAACACAGCCAGATCACGCAATAGATGATTTCCATTTACTGAGCTTTGCCAGATCTTTGGCTGATCTTGTCTTCTCCGGCATTTGCATAGTTGATGGTTGTGGAAATGCGAGTAATGTGGTTTACTTCATTTTACACAAGAAATCTACTTAAAAGTGATGGGGTTGGAATGAGATTCCCAATCATGATGAAATGGATCAAGAAAGCAGAAAAATGGCGGTAGTTTTACCCTTGTTTACTTTGTTCAACAATTTGTTTAAATCCTTTTTGGCTGGCAGAGGTATTTTAAAAGTCTCTCTGTGTTTTAGGTGTTCTTAATAAATGTCAAAGATATCTTCTCAGAAGGAAGAGTTTTATTTGAGAAGCAAAATTTATTTTAGTTTCAAGTCTAAAGCTAGTAAGAGTTGCAAACAGAGTACCTCTGCTGTTTACTCTGCTGAGATATTGCTCGTGAAGATTTTCTGCTGACAGTCAGAAATAATGGTCTAAATCAAGCAGGAGAAGAACAACAACACAAGACAAAAGCTGTTCTCTCACACCATCCTTTTTTATTTTCTTCGTTTTCTTGTAACGTTGATTAGAGAACCAGTGTTTTCACGATCTTAAACTCTAATGTGGAATACCCAGGCATATGTTTCAGCGTTAACTGACTGAATTGCATATTCCCAATCTAAACAAGAAGTCTACACTGTAAACCAATGATCATGTTGTATTTGGGATGATTATTTGGATCAAGCTAATTTTCTAGTGTTGAGCATTTTTAAATTTACAGCCACAAAGCTGATTGAAGACACTGCAGAAATTTATAACAAATGCTGGTTGAGGTTCTTTATGTGACAAAAATGTCTTGTACTTCCTTTGTCAAGGTTAAGGCTGCATGAAAGGAGAAGAAAACATCAGACCAAGTGATTTATTTGGTTTCATAAAGCTAAAGTTGAAGTTTTCGACAAGGTTTCCAAAATGATTGTTTTGGGGCCAAAACGATAGTGAGCATCACCAACTGAACCATATGCAATGAAAACATGCTGAAGGAAACTAAAATAAGACCAACTAAGCAAATATGACATGCAAAACAACAATCACTTGATTTTCTGCGTTACTGTTATTGGATGTTACACAATAAACATGTGAGGTTGTTTTAGTCTTTTGTATCACATCTAAAAGCAGGTTACTGTCCCACACAGTAGCAATCCATGAGATTAAAACCTCAGCAAATCCAGAGACAAATTTTATGAATGATGGATCTGAAGCAAAGCTGCCGTTTTTATTCAGTGAGTATTTACTCTGATGAAATGAAATGGTTCTGCATTAGTCATGGCAACACATTTCAAAACATAAGAGGCTGAACTGGTCAAATTCATTACCGTGTACTAATACGTAGTCATAGCAGATGGATAGTGTCTTCAGCTTTGTGTCATCATAAACAATATACATTTCGAATCCTACAAGGATCTCCGAAACCATTTACCATTTATAGCAGTCAGTCGGCACAACAATGTTCCAGTTTGCGAGACCTGAGCCCATGACGGCTTAAAGTGATTTCTGTTCCAAATCTAACAGGAGCTGAACAACAACACTTGGATTAAAATAATCACTTCAGCTTGTAAAACGTTTTGGTTCCAACAAGCAATCCATATATTTTAAAGGTTTAGCTTAGCTCTACAACATAGTTTGTCATTTTTTGCATGCTTATCTGTATGTTTATCAAACTCCTACATGAGAAGCTTCAGCTTTGTATGCCTATGCAACAAATATAATGCATTTTGTACTGTCACAATGTCTGGCAGTATAATATCCAAGCTCCTCTGCCTTCTACCTGTGGTACTGCCGTAACAAAAAAAAAAAGAGCCAGGAAGAGTGTCTTAGCAGTGTCAATCATGCTCATGTATGCACTGCACACACCTCTCTTGCACATCATTTCCGGTACTGATGGGTTGCACCTACTATTAATGGCAGGGAAACAGCATAAAGTTACAGGGAAACTGTTTATCCTCCATTATTGGTGGTCATGTTTACTAGCCTACATATTCACACATATTACTCTCCTTGCTGTGGGGAAGGGGAGGAAGTGGGTGTCATGATCCGTGTTTCTGTGTATTTATTTTAAGGTTTTTCTGTGTTCAGTTTCTGTCCTGTGAGTCTCTGTTTCTGCTTCTTCCCCGTTTATTGATCCCAGCTGTGTCTTGTTCTTGTGATTACCCTCCCAGTGTATTTAGTCCCACCTGTTGTCTGTGTTCCTTGTCAAATCCTCATGTTTTGTTGTATGTCTTCCGCCTAGCTCTCCAGTCGCACTGATTAAAGTCCTGGTTAGCCTTAGCTCCCAAATTCAGTCTCCTAGTTGTCAGTTGCTACTGGTTATTAGATGTGTGCTATTGTTCCTGCTGTGCTGCTTGACTGGACTGTTTTGAGCTACATTCACCATTAAATTCATTATCATTTTTACCTGAGTTGTCAGCGTTCATTCTCACCACCACCAACCACACCTTATGACAGTGGGGGGGGTTTACTTACCGTAGCTTTAATGGAAAAGTTGTCTTATTGACCTTCAAACTGCTGTCATGCACGGTTGAATGACAGGGCTATGCACACAAAGGTTTTTGAGTATTTACACTAAACACAGTGGCAGGCCAAGGTGAGTGCCAATAACTTCACTAAATGAAAGTACACATCCAAAGATGCAATCACAAATATAGATGGCCAGGTTAATATTTTCACATCCTTTGTTTGATCAGATCATAATCATAATTGTGCCCAACCCAATTTTATTTATATCCCTGTGTATAATGCAACACTAATACAGACAGCAGTATATCAGGACAGCAGCGAAGCAGCCCCTCGGCATGATTCAAAGTTCACAACCTCATTATTTCCTCCAAACATTCTTGTCATTTTTTTTTTTGCCTTGTAGTCCAAGCTTTGTCTGCAAATATTATCTAAATATTCTAAATATTAGTGTATTTGGACTTATATGTAATATTTTGTTCTGAAATTTGAACTTGACTACTTAATCCTGTTTTTTTCTCCTTCTTTTTAGTCTCTAATGTTTTATGTTATAAAATCACAATAGCTCAAACACATTAATTAAATGTGAGAATTTGTATTACTTCCATGCCGTATGTGAACCTTTGACTGTAACTGTGTCTTTGCATGTTGGCTACACAAAATCTATAGTTTTTGTCCCTCTACTTTTTTTATCTGTACCTTCTCTTTATCTTTTTTCAATGTCCTTGTGAAGAAAGTATCCCTAGGAAGACCTGCTGAGTCACGACCAGTCAAACCTCTTTAGGTCATCAAGGACCTGCTTTATTCTTCTAAAGATCAGAGAGGCGTTTCTCACTGCGGACCATCAGATTTATTGAAAGAGCACAGATTCATAAAGGCCATTGTGTGGATCTCAGCATGCTGCCAACAGGTCTGTGAAGCAAAGTGATTGAAGAAGCATCACTGTTCAGTGTTACTCCATAGTATCTAATGTGTTGTGCTATGCAGGATACATTTCCAAGACAGCTTTCGTTCAATAGAGAGTGAAATGAATGAATGCAAATCTTGACATTGAAACCTTTTGATTGTGTTTTCCTTTTCTCTCTTTTATTTCTGTGCTCTTCTCAGGACAGAGCAAGCCATCTGGAACTTTTCACAAAATCCTTCGACCACTTCTGTTCAGTATTTTTATCCTCGGATGTTTTGTGACTGCCTTCTTGATGTATTTTAAGCCATCCACCAGCTGGTTAAATGGTCCATTAGAGTCATCTGATTCCTCAAATCATGTCAAGCATGTCTTTGCAAAGAGTGACAAAAACATGACTACGGTTCTCGTTTGGCTGTGGCCCTTTGGACAAACCTATGAAATGAACATCTGCAGCTCTGCCTTCAACATCGAGGGCTGCTTCATCACAGCGGACAAAAACTTCTACAACAAATCGGACGGGGTCGTCATCCACCACAGAGACATTGCTGGGGACCTGTCCAACTTGCCGACATCCCAGCGTCCCCCGTTCCAGAAATGGATCTGGATGAACTTAGAGTCGCCGTCGCATTCAGCCCAGCTTCCCGGGATTAATAACTTGTTCAATCTGACTCTCAATTACCGTCAGGATTCTGATATCCAAGTGCCTTATGGGTCTATTGTAGCAGCAGATACTGTGGAGGACTTTGTACCACCGAGCAAAAACAAACTGGTCTGCTGGATCGTCAGCAACTGGAATCCTGAACATGTACGAGTGAAATATTACAACGAGTTGTACAAACACATTGAAGTTCATGCGTATGGACATGCATTTGGGGAGTACATCGCTGACAAAGATTACATCCCTACTGTGGCTAGTTGTAAGTTTTATTTGTCCTTTGAGAACTCAATCCACAAGGACTACATCACCGAAAAACTCTACATCCCCCTGTCTGTGGGCACAGTGCCGGTGGTTCTTGGCACGACCAGAGAAAACTATGAGAACTTTGTTCAAGGAGACGCTTTTATCCACGTGGATGATTTCAGCTCACCCAAAGAGCTGGCTGACTACCTGCTTCTTCTGGACAAGAACGAAGAACTGTACCTTGGGTACTTTAAATGGAGACGGCACTTTAAAGTAAACAGAGCCCATTTCTGGGCAGAGCACACATGCCAGGCTTGTGCTTACCTGAGACAACACAAAGAATACAGGGCATTCAATAACCTTAACAAGTGGTACTGGGGCTGATGGTGCTTAGATGGACTATGCAGCACTCATCACCTCTCTACAAGGTGGGACTCGGCACACAGAAAAAAGTCAAGAACAAAAAACAGTTACTTGATGAGACAAACATTAAGTTGAAAATTTAGATGTAATATTTAATTCAGGCCTTTTTGAAACACCATCTCATTTGTGATTGTGAAGATGTCACCTATGCAGAGCACTGAAGTCAAATGTGAAGGTAGTTTAACACTGTCGTGCATCATTTTGGAAATCTGTAGCCGTCTTTAAACATTCTTTGACGTTTACATTTGCACTGCAAACCTAACAGATGCTTCTCTTTACATTTTGTGAAGAATGATCAATGATCGTAGTAGTAATTACTCGCAGAAGGCGTGTCATTAAGAGCTTAGTTTCTGTAGTTAGTACCCAGAAAAAAAAAAGAAGGTTAGCGTGAACAACCAGAGTTTTCAGCATTATCCAAGTCTTGACACGAACGATGAAAATAAGTAAGGAGTATGGAGACTATCTTACCTTCCTCTTTTTACCTTCTTTTTTTCTGTTTAACTTCTTGTTTCAATCTATCCTTCAACACTCCCGTGTTTACTTAAATCTTTTTTTTTATTTCTTGTATTGTAAGTCCTCTTTTTCTTTCCTTTTGATTTTCATTCCTCCATCTCTTTTGTACTTCCTTCATTTTTTGAGTCCCTCTTCCCCTCTTCCTTCCTTCCTTTTCTTCTTCCTTTCTTCCTTGGTTTCCTCTTCTTCTTATGTTTAAATCCAAATACTCAAAGGCAAAGAAAAGACACATTTCTAAGAGGTTACAGAAGGAAATGAACAAAATTTTGCTGTAAATCCTTTGAACATTAAGCAAACCACCACACTCAGGAATCATTTCATCCCAATTAAACTGGTAGCAACAACCAAACACACAAATCTGACTCCTCTGAAAAAACACCAATAAATTAGTGTCAACATTTATCAGGACCTCCAAGCATACCGACTACTTTCCAAACTAAATGTGACAAACTCTGAGACAGCTGTGCAAAAGCCTTCTTAATGGCATCGCCAAATTAATCACAGAACCGATGATGTCACGACAACATGAACCAACGTTTGTGTTTGTTTTGTCTATTTTTAAAGAAAATGATGTCCCATCAGGTTATCCCTGTGCCTGTCAGCCAGTTTTGTCACAGCCGATATAAATCAGGCTGATTTCGGTAACAAGTAGGCCAAAGGCAGTATAACTCCAGGAAATGCAAAACCTTTGAGATGGCGTGACTAAACTTTTGTAAAAACAAAAGACAGTCTTTAACCCACCTTGACCTCCTCAAAACCAAATGATGTGTAACGCCAAAAGTCAAGACTAATTCATAGTCCAGCAACATGTCAAGTTATGAAAAGCCTAAATTCTCTAAATCAAATTCAGTTCAGGTATAGGACTTTTTTTGTGATATGAACTAACTTTTGAATTAAAAATTGGTGTTAAGAAGGACACTCTAAAATGATCGGCTGCAACATTCAGCTCATTGTAGCTAACATCTCAGTTTACAGCAGCTGACAGTCAATCCGTTCCAAAGGAGCCTCCAACGACTCGACACTGAAGAGCATAAAGTCTCAGTGCCGATTAAAGGTCCGTATACACTGAGCAGAAAGTGTCACTTTTTAAATGTATTTGTTTTTTACAAACCCCACCAACTTGAAATAATTACATGATTGGTTGATTTTACTATTTGTAACCGCTCACAGGTGACTAGCATTGGAACAGTCCTCTGGATTTTCTTGATGGTTCGACCAATCACAGAACTGTTGAGGTCCTTTTATCTACGTAGCAACAGAGCCAAACGACTTCTGAAACAAACCTGGCAATTTTAACCCTTACCCTAAGTTGCTCTTACTTTTAACAATATTTAAATTGCAAAATAATCCACTTATGAATGCAGGATTTTATTTCTGATGATCAGAAGTTCTTCACAAAGTGTCCATTTATTTTTATTTCAATAATTTATTAGGTTCTTTGAGAGTACTTCGAGGGCCCTGATGGGTCATCTGTTATAATGTTGCCTATTGTGGATTATGATGCACCTGCAGGTGCAAAAGATGAAACAGCATAAAATTAAAACATGACTGAGTCAATATGCCATGCTTCTCTGCAATCTCAAAATAAAGCCTCAAACATTTATTTAGAGATAAAGTTAAATACCAATTTTTGAACAAAAGCAAAACTGAACGGAAGTTTTTCCACAACCATTTTGTTCTGAATTAAAAATATTTAATAGATCGTCCATGTTTTTTTTTTCTGGGACCCATCGGAGAGTCAGTGGTTGAAAGTGGGTTTTGCGGTGCTCTTTTTCCCTCTGTTGCATGTAGCACTACAAAACAATTAAGATCACACTGTCACAGGAATAGAATTGTATTACTTTTAGATCTCCTTTGAAAAGCCGTAAATCGGATTCCATCACCATCCGTCATTAATGTTTGCGCATTGTGTTTTTTTGTTTGTTTTTTTTTTCATTTAAGTTTTAATTCTGAGCAAAAACCATGTGAACATTTTATGCAAGTTGAACTGGCAGCTTTCTTTTGGGTCAAAGCCTGAAATATATACTTTGGTGTGAATTGAACTATTTCTTCATTAGCACTGGGACCAGCGTGTAAAGTATCAGGAGCTCAGTTTTAAACTACACTCTGGCTACTAAGATCAATATTGAAACAAGTGCATACGTGACATAAACTGAAGGGTTCAACTTGATAAAACGGGGCTGTGACATGAGATTATCAATCCAACTCCATTAGCGAAAGAACAGCATAAATTGTTGTAAATATTTTTACAGTTCAGATGTCTTTATAACAGTGGTATGAAGCTGAATGAAATTCTACTCTATCCTTGCGGGCGACGTTTTGAGGAATTAAGAGGCAATACACTGAGGTAAAGAGTCGAAAACACTAGCAGTAAAAACACAGATCAGAGACGATGCTTGTAGTGCCAGGGAATGGGAGCGTGTGTGTGTGTGTGTGTGTGTGTGTGTTTTTTTCTTTTTCATTCACATGTTTATGGATCAGGTGCAAATCCTGCTGGTATCACCTCAGACAGAAAGGTGTGCCAAAAAAATGCAGCACAGCTATAGCACTTTTATTTATGTGAAGTTGTGTAACTCACTGTGCTTATGGGTTGTCTTAAGTGGAGCTTTTTGAGTTTATAAGCAAGGTCTGTCCGACAGAAGCTTTTGTTTACGGTTTTATAATGTATAGTTCTTTCTCCTTTATGAACATGAAGCTTTGTTGTCCAGTGTGGTCGGTAATTTTGCACAAATGGGGTTTCCGTTGTGAATGTCGTTCGTCCCATTCATCCTTTCTTCTTTTCAGATACAACGAGCTGTAGATTGTCTGTTCGGGATCGGAAGGTAGATCAGGAATTGTCTGGTTAATTTACAGACACGGAGATAAAAAAAACACATCTTGTACAATGAATGGGATTAAATCTCTTATGTGTGGTTTCTACTGAAAAAAAATCTGCCAGTTTACTGAGACATTCAGTGAGTCAGAACAAGTTTTTTGCCAAATCATTGTATTTTGCCAAATGTGTTCTAACTGTAGATGTCTACTAGTATAATGGAGAGAATAAAGATAAGGGTAAATGAATAAACCTGAATGGTGTGACCCAATGTTATATTAGAACCAAATATTTACACACACTGTAAAATAAGACACACAAAATGACATTAATTATTTTAAACCAGTCAGGATCAGCTGGTTAGACACGACGAGGATCCGACAAGAGACAAAGACAACAGGTGAGACTAAATACACTGGGAGGGTCATCAAAGAAACGAGACACAGCTGAGAACAAACAGAAGACAGAGACTCGCAGGGGAACAGGCTAATAAACACAGAAAAACCTCAAAATAAATACACAGAAAACACCGATCACAACAGTAAGATATACCAAACCACACTGACCCACGCCATGTTATTTAGTGGAAATGGGGCATAAATGAGGTTTGTAGGCTTGCGCACACTAGCTATGTTTCCATTCAATTGCCATGTGCATTTTGAGCTAAATATTAAAATGATGCAAAAGAAATGCAAATTAGTAATCTTGTCAACCAGGCTTATGCAAAGTGTAATTTTGCCATAGCTGCAACAAACAGGAGGAGCTTAACTTACAAAGTAGCATGGACAACACTTCTCAGAAAAATGGAAAGCTTTTCAGAAATTAGTTGCTATCGGGCAAGTTATAATTGTTCTGTCGTGTCAGCATAACCGAGTCACAGAGATGCGAATCTAACACACACTGACACTAAAACCACTGATCAGTTATGTGAGGTAGATGTTCACTACATAAGAACTTATGTGAAATGTGTTTCCATTGCTCTTTTGTTTTTTGGAAAGCCAAAAATCACCTCAAATGAACATAAAAACTGTGAAATTGAA